GTCGCCGCCGCCGCCGTCGCCGGTGGCGCGAGACGGGCCGTGGCCCACCCGCCAAGCAGCGTCTGCCCCCAGTGTCAGGTCGGGCGTGTCCTCCTACAGGGGGGGAACTTTGACGAACAGCTAGAAATACAAACAAACAAAAAAGCAAAACAAATTCCAAAGAGAAAAAGTCGTCCCCATCTTAGTTTTGGACTATCTTTGAATATTCCTCCCTCCCGTAGAGGGAGCAAGAAATTCTCGTTTGTCTTCGGGGAAGGCTCAGAAGGCTTTGCAGAAGGCCGGGGGGGGCTTCTGAGCCTTCTGAGAAGGCCTTCTCCTTCTCACGTCCCCCCCCCCTCGCTCGCCGCCGAAGAACGAGTCCTCGCGGGAGCAGCCCGCCGCCCGCGGGAGGGCCTGGTCCCGGACGGCGGGGAGTGCAGCCGAGCAGCGTGACGTCGTGGTCAGCAGGATGTGCGGCGCGGACTTCCTGAGCGACGAGCTCGCCAGGGTGCGGCGGCTCGCTGAGCGAGCTCGTGGAGGCCAATACGGCGGCGTGGGACGCAGTCGCGGAGAAGCCCCAGGCTGCGAGCGGGGGTCGCTGCAGCAGCGGATCAGCGTGCAGCCTGAGCTCCTGCACCGGAACAGAGGCATCGGTGAGCGGCGACGGGATGCACGACTTCGCGGGCGGCCCGAAGGATGGCCCGGCATCCGAGGTGACAGAGACGATACGCCAGGAGCTCGGCGGGACGGAGCTCTCGCACCAAAGAGCACAGAACAAGAAACCACTGTCGCCCCGTATCATCAGGACGCGCGATAAGGATGCAAGGGCCTTGAATGCCGTTTCGAAGGCTTCCCAGCGGAGCGCGGCCAAGGAAAGTGTCCAAGGATGGACCGAGGAGGCAAGGATGCAAGGGCACCCTTGGGAAACTTGCCCATCCTTACTATGCGGGTTGACTGTACCAGTGGCGGTGTGGTGTACGGCGATGGGGCGCACGCCATCCCATCGAGGCCGCCGGGGACCGACGCCCGGAGAGCAAGAGTAGGGTCCCTGCAAGCCCCGAGGCCGGAAGCAGTGAAACAAGTCAGGATTGTTTGATCAGCGCGTGGGGGCGTGTGGGGATGCCACTACAGATTCTACCTTTCGGCGGCGGCGATGTCCCCCCCCGGCCTGTGGGGTCGCCAGGTCGCCAAGGAGGCCACCAGGTCGAGCTTGGAGACCAGCATGGCGGCGCTATCGGGAGGCGCCGCTGAGGTCGCCGAGAGGGCGAGGACCGCGTGGGCCAGGGCGGTCACCGCGTCAGGCAAGGGGAAGCGGAACGCTGAGATCAGAAGCATGCGACAGCGGAGGTCGACGGAGCCCGATGCAAATGCGAAACTCTGAAGATCAACTATAGAGCTGCATCGCGGACTGGCTTCGGCAGCCCACTCGGATGGGGGTATTCTCCACGCGCGGTCCGGGAGGAGGGGGATCGGGCAGAGCGGAGCCGGAGGAGTGGCGGTGATCACTGTATTGAGTACACAAGTCCCAGGCCGAGCAAAACGCAGTATGACCACGGCACGCCTCCGAGAACGAAGGCGACGACGGAGACGAGGCGCGCTTACGATCCGCAGCACGGATTTGGACTCGGGAAGGAGAGAGGGTCCACCTGGCGAGGAGCACGTTGTGAAGCAAACTTGGCGTGACAACGAGCGCTGGGGAGACATGGCTCGGGACGTCCCCCACTTCTCCTCGGGGCGACGTAGCTCCAGCGAGGCGTCGCATGAGGCCACTGGTCCATCACGGCGCGCGCCAAGACCCGAAACGCCGCCACAGCCGCCGCCGCTCCCTGGGCCACGCGAGCTCGGGACCCGAACATACGAATCTCGCGGGGAACGGCATGCTGTGGTGCGGCGCGGCCCCCGTGTTCCCGAGCATGGGCAGGGACACTGAGTATCGTTCATCCGATCCCCATCCCCATCCCCAGCGGCGTGGCCTTGGCCCCACTAGCCGATATACCCCCCTAGATGGGGATATAGGCTGTTCCCTTCGAGTTCCGAGGGGTGTATCCCCAACTGGGGTGGTAAATTGGTGGGTGTCTCGAAGGGGATGGAGATGGGGATGGGGATCGGATACACGATACGGAGACACAGCGGAGGCCAGCACCGCCATGGGAGAGGCACGACGTCCTTGGCAGAAGGGGGCACGACTTGGGCGGCAGCGGAGAGCGAGGCGGACAACGCTCAGCGTCGTCGGGGGCCCCTCTGTGCCCGCGCGGGTGACCACTGCACGTAGCCGCACCGAACCGCGAGCCGAAGGCGAGGCAGGGCACCACCATCGATGAGGAGTGGCAGCTCCTCGCAGAGGAAGGCTTTCCTGGGTCGCCTCACTTCGCGCACCGCGCCTGGCGATATGCGACGCGCGATGATCTTCGCGCCATCGAGCAGTCGCGCCGCCCCCCATGGAGAAGAGCCACCGCTCTAGCCTGCACCGCGATGTGCGACTACCTTCGCGCCCCCGCGGGTGACGCTGCGTTCAGGCTCTGGGCGTGGGGAGGACTTCGTCCAGCGCGTCCAGAGCTCGCACTTGGAGGTGGTTATCCAAGCGGCGCGGTGGTTCTTCGAGCGGCGCGGCGGTCCAGAGGCGCCAGCGTGGCTCTCCAAACGGCACGAGCTGCGCGACGCGGAGGGCGCCCCGCGGCAGGATCAAGGTCACGATCGGCGCGAGGGGAAGGGCACGTCCATGGCACTGGCTGCAGGGGACGGGCTTCTAGACGCCAACGGCTTTGGCGATTGGCATCGGCCTGTGTTAGTGTGTGCAGAAAGGTGGCAAGCATGGCGAATCCGTAGCTGGAAACTTCCCTCTTTGTTCTCCCTCTACAATGACACATAATGGTTACTACTCTCCCCTCTCCCCTGACGACGTCCAGGAAATATTCGGACCCCCTCCGCGCACTGACTTTAACGCAGGGTTCACGGCCCAATAAGACTCCGAGACGGCCTGAAAAGGTGCCCAATAGGACTTCAACTCGGCCCTTGGGGGCCCTCGGGCGGCCGTCAAGGTCCCCAAGGAAGCCTCCAACCGACCGAAAGAGGCCCCCGAGATGGGCTCCGAAAGCGACAGACGGCCCAAGAGCGCCCTAAGACGGACATAAGGCCCCACAGGAGCCCCCGAGGCGCCCCGCGGACGCTGCCAAGATGCTCCAATAATCCCCGAAGAAGGCCCAGAGGACCCCAGGGTTTTGCAGTCATGTCGAACGCCATGTCAACCTGCGCAAAGACGGCGCCACAGGGCCCCTCCCCCTGCGGCCGCCGCCGGCAACGCAATTGGGGCATGTCTCCAGGGGCTGCGCCAAACTAATAGATAATAGAGGGCCCTGGTAGAGCCCAACAGTGCCCGTGAGAGAGCTCCCACAAGGCCCGCGAGGCCCTGAGACAAGCCCTGGGGGGAGCCAAGACGCCCCGCCCCCCCGCCCCCCGCGGAAGAGCATCTGAAACGGCCCTGTCAGCTGCTCGACCGCGGGGGCACCAAGAGGGCGCCCCGAGGGCCCCAAAAGGGCTGCAGGCGGCCCCTCGCGTCCTCCACATCTCGACGAGGAGGAGGAAGAGGACGAGGAGGAGGAGGAGGAGGAGGAGGAGGACGAGGAGGAGGACGAGGAGGAGGAGGAGGAGGAGGACAAGGACGAGGAGGGGCCCAAGACATGCCCTGGGGATCCCAGGAAGCCCGAAGCGCCCACCCACGGCAGAGCACATGCAACGTCCGCTTCAGATGCTCTGCAGCGGCGGGCCCGAGAGGGCGCCAGGAGGGCCCCGAGGGCCCGAGAGGAATCCCACGAGGGCCCTAAGATGGCCCGAGCTGGCGCCTGACGCCTTGGTCTTCGACGCCGCCGACAAGCTCGAGGTGCAAGCTCAAGGTGCAAGCTCGTCAGCGGTGCACTGTAAAAAAAGGCCCGAGTTGGCGCCCAAGAGGCCCCAACAGACCCCCAAGATGCCACCAGGAAGACCCGAGGACGCTCCCCACGTGACTCCCAGGAGCCCCCAAGGTGCCCCCCAGAGGCACCAGAGATGCCCCAAGAGGCCCCTGCGACCGCAAAGAGGCAGCCAAGGAGCCCCAAGGGGCCTCCGAGAAGCGCCCAAGAAGATATATACCTGACGACACTCCGAGAGGTATCGAAGAGGCCTCTGGCCCCTCCGCTCGCCCTCCTCATCCTCCCCTCCGCCTCCTCATCCGCCTATTCGTCCTTCATCTCCGTCCACACGTGTCCTCATCCTCCTTCAAACGATAACAGTTGCCCTCCCCGTCGTTCCTGGATGGGCTGATGGGAAAATTCGAAACGTCAAGAATTCGTTTACACTCAATTCCACCAGCCACAAAGGCCCATTCTGCGCATGTAGGGTGGCTTTCTAGATGAACACGACAAAATCGGCCCTGACCCCGGATCCAACGACCCGGCTCTACTTCAAACCAAAACTCACGCGGCCAATTCCGGTCTGTTCCAAAGCGAAACGCGCCGGAGCAGGAAACATCAATTCCCGACCACTCGTTCCGAATCGTGCTCCCGCTGCAGCGCTGGCTTCATTTCCACGCTTCCGCTGGTTCTGAATCGTGCTCCCGCTGCAGCGCTGGCGTCATTATTTCTAGTGCTATGCCACGGCATGTAATGCAATGCTATGTGGTGTTCCGCTGTGCGATGCCAAGCCTTCAGCTGTAATGCTAGAATATGCAATGCTTGACTACGCATTGCCACGCCATGCTATGCCATGCTACGCTTGGATCTTCAAACCCATGCTATGGCATGTTCTGTTCTGTGCCGCTGTGCCATGTCATTATTTGCGTTGCAATGATTTGTGTTGCAATTCTTCAATACGCATCCTTCTCCCTCATCCGTCATCCCCTCCTCTCCCCCTCCCTCCCACCTTCCCGATCCAGTACCCTTCCCCAGCCCGTTCCCCCTTTTTACATGCCCTCCTCCTCCTCTTCAGCCCCCTCACCTCGTGATCATCGCAACCTCGCTCGACACCTTCACCAGCCACCTGATCAGTGCTCACCGCCCGAGCTGCTTGCAATTGCCGCCGGCGCTCGCATTGAAGTAGGCCGGGAGGGGGGACGACTGCAGAGCAACAGTGGGGTACAAGTGCTGCCACTCGAAAATCCGCCACGCCTTGACCTTATCCAAATCCAGGTCGAGTCCCGCTTGGCAGAACCCGCTCAGCTTAGTCTCTGACCTTGGGAACGTCCGCACCTCTGGTGTCCAGTCCGTCGATCCTCCAGAAGACTTCCAATTCTGAGGGATCTGCGTCGTCGACTCCCCCCAGAGATAGTCGGTCCTGTCGTACACTTCGCATGGGGCAAAGCTCGGGTGGGAGCTCAACCAATGCTCCATGGAGAATCGGCCGCGCCCGACCATGTCTGGTCTGTTGAGCATGTCGTTCCATTGCGCAGCCCCTGCCGTGGTCGCCACCTGCTCCATGGCCGCCACCATCTTCACTGGTGGGATTAGGCGGGAGACGTACTCGCATCTGGCCACCCATATGTTCCCAGGGTAGTGTTGGTGTGGCAGGGGGCTGAAGCGAGAGGCGCACGCGCTGCACGACTGGGGCATGGTCTGGCACGCGTCGGACCATGCCCCCTTGGTGATGAAGCGCCTGAAGACCACGTTCTCTGGCGTGTTGTGAAAGGACCCCTTGCTGTGCATATACAGCACACGCCCAGTTGGATTCTGCACGCAATGGTCGTGGACGTGCTGCAACGTGATCACCTCGTCCCCGGCCGCTCTGTGTTCGAGCTGCTGGCATGTAGAACAGTTGAGCAGCGCCGGGACGGCGCTATGGTCGGGGCCCACGAAAATGAAATTGAACCTCTGGACTGCGCCAAAGCCGGTAGATGACGTCGCCACCGAGAGCTGCTCTCTGACGATGGAGGCCGACAGCACCTCGCCTCCAGAGGCATCCGACTGGAAGATGTGGTAGAATACTGTCAGCGAGTCTGCAAAAGTCTTTTTCGTTGCAGACGAGGTCAGGACCGAGGTGGCAGCACCCAAACCCGCCTGAGTGGAAATTCGCCGACACCTGTCGTGCCACAAGGCGTGTGAGACCCCCTTTCTCTCCTACTCCCCCAAGAGCAGATGTCGACCCCAATCAGACCCCTCTTCAGACCCCTCTTCTCCCTAGCGCTGCCGAGCGTGCACGTGTCGGTCGCCTCCTGCGACCTTGGGTGGGGGTGCAGCGTGCAGCGGGGCAGCGGTCTACAGTAGGAGCTCGATCACAAGAAACCTTCCACAAGAAATTCAACCCTGAGACCCCAGTACGTCCATTGACTTTTGGTGTGGAGACTTCACGCTTCTCATTGCAAAACCATCGAAATTCAAGAATCCAGGGCACCCTGGAGGCCAAGCGGGGAACTTCTCGGCATGGGCTCCCCACTGCACGCAGAACCCAACAAGATCTTGCCTTCACTCTCGGCGCTGCCAAGCGTGCATCTGTCGCGACCTCAGGCGCCCCTGGAGGTCAACCCACAGCCCAGGGCAAACTGCTCGTTGACGGCGGGGCCCAGCCGTCAGGGGCAGATCTCGGCTGTGCCTGCCGCGAACAGTCTGACAGCGCGTCCCCGTATTTGCCGACAGGGTCCCCTGCTTGGCGGCGAGGCGGGGCGGGCCTTCTCAGAAGGCTCGGAAGTCCCCCGGCCTTCTGAGAATTTTTGAAAGCCTCCCCGGAAGACACAGAAATCCTCCCAGAAGGCGCGAGGGCTGTCCCACCGCCTTCTGAGAAGGCCTTCTCCTTCTCACTTCAACCCCTCGCTCGCCGCCGACCTGTTTCCAGAGGGGAGCCAGTGCCGATCACACATTATCGCAGCGTCTATCGCAAGCATGTTTACAATGAGGGCCCGCCGTCGAGTGCACAGTAAGGCGGCGCCTGCCTGTCGCGGGCCACTTGGCGGTGGGGGGTCCACCGCCAACATGGAGTTATTTGCGGACCTGGCCACACTACGGCCCAAAAGAGCCCCACATGGTCCAAGGAACCCCAAGAGGGCCTGAGAGGGAGGGCTGAATGACAACCACTAACCAAATCTTCTGACCCCCACTTGGCAGGGGTGAGAAGGCGTGTGAGATGATTGGCTGTCCCCCTCCCCCTGCCCCCCTCCCCCAGGGTCCAGAATGTTGTTTGAGACGAGGGAGGTTATACAAGCTCCCCGGCGCCTGCCTGGAGACTCTGGAGCTTCCAAATCTGCCTGCCTTGCGTGGCCTCAGCGAAGATCCAAAACGGTCCCGAATCGCGGGACGATACGCCCAAGACGCTTACGATGAATTCAAGACGCCCCAAGACGCCTTCGAACCGCGGGACGCCAAACGACGCCTGAGAGCCTGCCCAAGAGGGCCACGACAGGCACAAAGCATACGTTTTACTGTGGTTGTTCATTGTTTCGGGGTTCTCGTCTTCTCGAGCTTCCGACGCTCCAAGAAGGCCCACTGGGCCCCGCAGACCGCCCCAAAACTACCCGAAAGGCCCGTACCGGGGCCCCAGGACGGAGCAAGAGGGCTCCAAGGCGGCCCAAAGAGGGGCCCAAGACGGCCAAAGATCGCCCCAAGAAAGAACCAAGAGAGGCAAAGAGGGAGAACACGAACCGAGAGTCCGATCTTTCCATCCCAAGAGGTCCTCCCCAAAAAGCTCGAAGAAGCCCACAAGCGGCACAAACGGGGCCCCCAATGAGCCCCAAGAAGCCCCCAAAAGAACCAAAGGAGATCCAACAATTGCCCTCGAGACGCTTCAAAACTGCCTTCATGAGGTCCAGCCAGGCCCCAAAACAGCTCCCAAGACGCCCACAAGAGTCCCCAAATACAGACCAAAAAGCTCACGACGCCTCAACCGTGGACTCGACGACTCTTCTCGGGGTCGGCGGGATGGCGTAAGCCTCTTGAATTAGCAGATCCCCCTCATTATGTCTGATCTCGTACCGGAGGTACTTAGTAAAGGCTGCTGCGAGCAGGAGTGCAAGATACAGTCCCATTCCCAACTGCTTCGGTCTGGGTTCTGGGTGTTGTGACCTTTCACAGAAACCAGAATTATACACTTTGCCGATGAACACGCACTTCGCGCGGAAACTAGTTGTGACTACAAAGCCACATGCCAAATACATATTAACTTTTATACACAGAATATGCAGAAGATGCGGATATGGCGCAAGCCTAATGCATCAACGTCCCAAGCTTACTGCTGGTGCCCAAAGATCCCCAGCCTTGCAAAAAAGAGGGGACTTCAACCGCTTGCACTTGGACGTGGCCGTCTGCACTTATCGGGATAGACTTCCTCATCAAAGAATTGGGCGGCCCCTTCCGCACTCTGAAAGTTGGCATCGGGTTCTGTGTGCTGGCCATTGTCGTTGGAGATGCTATCACACCGAGGCAGGCGAACACCACGAATGCACACGTATCGCGCATTGTTCCGAACCTGTCTTTAAACCTCAACTTGCGTATCTGAAGCGCGCAAACTCATTGCATCATTGCTCGGAAGACGAGGCAAGGGGGCCAGCCGAACACTTTCTTGTGGAATTTCTCGGCCTCGAGCAGAGATGGATACAGAAAAGATGAACGCATGATGTCAATCACCAACTGTCGCGATGTAGGTAACACAGCCATCGATGTGTTCACTGACGCCAAGCCAACTGTTCGGAATGCCGATCGGCGGGCACGCGCTTTACAAACATCGCATGGCAAATGACCCCCGCCCACTACCTGGCCCTGTTTGGACTTAAAGGCGACCTTTCCAATGTCACAAGGCCCGTTCAAACATCGATGTTTGGGGTACGATTTGAAATTGCTATGAATCAACTCAGCCTCATGAAGCCCTCAGACCGAAAACGCCCGCTGGCCTACAGACGGCATCTCCGCAGTCCCACAAGGCTCCTCAGACGCAGACGGCTCCCGCAGGCACATTAGAGGAGACCCGAAGACCAAACCATGATCCTGAGAAGGCCTGACACCCCCCCAAAAAAATGGGTTCAATAAGGCCAGCAAGGCGTCAAGACAAACTAAAACTGACCACAGGCCCCGCAGACGGTCCCTAGGCTGCTATGAGCTCGATGATGCAAGTTCGCTTGAAAGCAGATAGTGGCTGTGAGAACCTTCCTTCACGGTGGCGCTGCTTGCATGCGCATGTCGGCTACTCGATACCTGACAAGTGGGCACAACCAGACCCCCCCAAAAAACACTGACGTCTCCTGGGTGGGCAACCCCTGCGTCCGACGACCTTCCGCCAGCTTCCGCCGCTGGGAGCCGCCCCCGGTCCACTCTCACCGCCTCCGGCCGACCTCTCGCCGACGAAGAGGGGAGTCCAAACCTCTCGGTCCTTCCGAGGCGAGGCCCCGTCTAGCCCGCCCCAGGTGCCGCGCATCGCGCGCCGCGTGGCGCGACGCGCGGAGAGCTCCGCGCCCCGCGCACACGCAGAGGGCAGCTCCCCAGCCCAGGCCACGACGCGCGAAGCGCGATTATCCCTGCGCCTCACGGCGTGCCCTGTCCAGATATCCGCCGATATGAGCTGCGCTGATCCGCAGGGCACTGGAGGTCTCGACCCCTTCCCGGGGGCAAATTTTTCGTTCAGGATCGATGTTGCACTGACCTGGGGCCCGAACAAAACCAGAAAACACCAGGATTCGAACACAGAAGTTGCCCGAGGTCCACAAATGTCTGAGGTCAGCTGCAACGGCCCTCCACGGCGACATCACGTCTGAAAAACAGGCAAACCGGTAGCGAAACAAACATCCGGCCAACACCGACAGACCGCAAACAGAACGAACACAGCGACGCAGCAAAGACACAACAACCGACCGAATCGAACCGATCGAACGCAACCGACTGCGAGGTAGCCGAACCGACCCAACCGCGGAAACCCTCGGCTGCGCGCAGCTCGAGTTGACGCGTTCCGATTGTTACTCTGCCATGTGGCTCTGCCTGGGCCAACCTGGCGCCGTGCCGCACGTCTGATCCATGCCAAATGACGAGAGGGAGGCAGGTCTCCCTTCGCCGGCTCTTGCGCGGTGCACGTGCGTTCTGCGGTGGACCTCGGGAGCTCTTCTAACCTCGCTTCTACTCCCGTCTTCGGTCCGTCTGGATCCTCGAACAGGGCCAAAAATTCCCACAGGACGCCGGAAAGGACCTTGCAAAAACGAGGCCAGCTGATGAACAAACGAGCAAGAACTCGAAAATAAGAAATTCGCCGGCCCAACAAGCCAAGGGCGTGCTAAGATCTCCAGTGACTGGTTAACAATATTCTACTTCGCGTGCGCGGGGCCGCCCCTGGGGGTCCCCAGACGAAAAGTCTTCCCGCAAGTCCCGGCAAAATCCCAGCAGGATCCCGGGCAGGTCCCAGCAGGCCACCAAGAGCCTTCCAGGAGCGCTTCAAGTGGCTTCCAAGAGAGCTCTACATGGCCCGAGACGGCCCACAATATGGCCTCCAGACAGCCCAAAGCGCCTGCAAGACGCCCCAAGATGCCTCCAAGAGACCTCCCAAGACAGCCCACAGAGGCAGAAATTTATATTGTTCTACAGTTTTGGAAGTTTTTGGCGTTCTCGCCTTGGGAGCTTTGCGGCGCTCCAAGACGGCCCAGAGGCTTCCAGGATCGCCCCAACATGGCCACGAGCGCCCACAACGGCCCCAGAAGGCCCCTAGACAGCCCCGGAGGCTTCCAAGATGGCCGACGAAGCTCCCAAGACGGCCCCAAGAGCGGGCCCAGACGAGGGACCCGAACGGACATGTTGAGCTCTAGACGCCGAAAGGTTCCCTGGAAGCCCAAAAAGGCCCCTAAGAAGCCCCCAAGAGGCCCCCGAGAAGCCCCAAGAGACCCCCAAGAGGCCCCAAGAGACCTTTCCAGAGGGTCCACAGAACCAGAAATTGATGAGTTCCCCTCAGTGTTGAAGATTTTTGGCGTTTCGCCTTGGGAGATTTCCGGCGCTCCAAGACGGCCCAAGAGGCGTCCCGGATCGCCCCAACACGGCCCAAGAGGCGTCCAAGAGCGCCTACGACTGCCCCAGAGGGCCCCTAGACAGCCCCCGAGGCTTCCAAGATGACCAAAGAGGCTCCCAAGACGGCTCCAAGAGCGGGCCCAGACGAGGGACCCGAGAGGACATGTCGAGCTCTAGGCGCAGAGGGGTGACCCGGAGGCTCCAAGAGGCCCCCAAGAAGCTCCCAAGAGGCCCCCCAAGAGACCTCCCAAGAGGGCCCACAAAAGCAGAAGTGAGTGTTTGTTTTGTGTGATGCTTCCAGTTTTTGTTGCCGTTCTCGCCTTGGGGGCGTGCTGGCGCCCCAGGGCGGCCCTAGTAGCTTTCAGGATCGCTCCAACACGGCCCCAATCGTCCTCCGAGAGCGGACACAACGGCCCCAGAGGGCCCCTAGACAGCTCCAGAGGCTTCCAAGATGACTGACGAAGTCCCGCAAGACGGCTCCAAGAGCGGGCCAGGACGAGGGACCCGAATGGACCTGTCGAGCTCGAGGTGCAGAGGTTCCCTGGAGGCACCGCAAACAGCTCCCAAGAGGAACCCGAGAGCCCCCAAGAGACCCCCAAGAGGACCCCTTATAGGCCCCCGCGACGCCCCAGAAGACTCAGAAATACCGCCAAAAGGACCCCGAGAGCCCGCCTATCGTCTTACTCACCCTTCCTTCTTTCTTCCCTCTCCTCCTCCCCTTTTGTGCGTCAGCGACTCTCAATCCTCGAACGAGAACAGAGGTATCCGATCGTCGCACAAACTATAATTGATTTCTTCCCTTTCCTCCGTCTCCCCTGCCTGCGTCAGCATCCCTTACTCCTTGGACGAACGGCGCCGCACTAAATCATCACGACAATAATCGAAAGAAAGGCTTCCATGTTATCCTTACCCTCCATTTTTCCTCCTCGTCCAAGCCCTCCTGTTTCTCTTCCTATTCCTCCATATCTTCCCCTCTTCCCCCTCCTCCTCCTCCCTCGAACACATCTACAACTACACGCAACAGAACTGCACTTCGTTGCGGGGACCAGGGGTGGCAATCATAAATTGATTGGGCGCGTCGGTCGGTCTGGGTTGACGGACGCCGCCTCACGACCTACGATGGACGGCGACGGTCGCGCCGACGACGATATGTGCCAAGCGTGGAAGCGATCACCCTGTTTCACGGCGACGCTTGGCGGCAGCCGCAAGAAACATCAGAACACGAACGAGCGTTTCACCCTCAGACGGGAAATCCGGCACGAAGAAAAACTCGAAAGTGCGGGGGATCGGATCGCAGATTTGCTTTTGGGGCACAGGCGGGGGGGGAAGCGGGCTGCGCGAGGTTGGGCCCCCAGGCATACGGATGGCTTCGCTGAGCCGGGGGATGCGGGATGTCGGCGGGGAGCGGCCCAGGGGGCGGGGCCTCGGCGACGGGCAGCGCGGGCAGCCACGCTTCGCGAAAATGGGACACGCACAGAACGGCACTTAGCGGCCGGGGCGCGGTACACGTTGGGAGCGCTGGTGACGGCACCCGACATGCACCCCGACCCACTGGCTAAGTGTAGTTCTATAAGTGCTCCGTTTTGTGAAGATGTCTCCGGCGAAGCCAGCACGTGCAGAGCTACGCCCAGTGTCTGGCGAAGTGTAGTTCTGAACGAGCTGGATGTCTCGCGCGGGGCGAGCACGTACAGACCGGCACCTAGGGACGGGGTGCAGGTCGGGTGCGTCGTCGCGCCCCGCCCGCAGCCAGGAAGGCAAGGGCCGCTTAACCCCCTGCCGGCCTCTGGGCGGAGGTGTCTGAACGTCCCAGGGCTACCCGAAAAAAATCCAACTGCGCCCTCCGCCCACACCGCTCCCCCCCTATCAGAGCATCTCGCCTGGGCACTATGTTCCCCATTCCCGCCCGCTGCTTTACCCTCCCCCTCCTCCGTTCTTCCCCGACCTGCCGCCCCCCATTTCCCTGAACGTTTCCCAATTGCCCGTGGCCCCTGCGTGGCGACAAACGCTCGCGCACCCCCGCAGCTGAAACACTCAGCTTGCGCTCATCCTCCAATCCAATCGTGGGGCGCAAGTCTTGATTCCACACTGACACTGGAAGCGACGCCGAGGACACAGCAACTCCGACAGGCGCGATCGGCCCCCTCGAATGGCGGGCGAACCAATATGTAAGACGATGTCGCAAAAAGCGCCCAAAGTGTATTGATGTGCCTGTCCGACTCCCCCTCTGCTTATAAGAACCTCAACCCCTCCCCCCTCTGCTTCAAATGATCTCCGTTCTCCAACGAAAAGCGCTACAAAAAACCATCAAGACGCTACAATCAGCTTCCCGTTCCTCCCACTGCTGCATAGCTACCACGCCACACCTCAATTCCACACACAGCCATGGCAAGGTTCCCGCCACCTTCTCCTGCTTGTCCTCCTCGTACCCCTCGCATTCCTTTTCCCCTCTCCTTCTGTCCGGCTCCTCCTCATCCTCCTCATCCTACTCCCCCGCCTCCTCCTTCTCCTCCTCCTCATCATTGTCATCCTCATCATCACCATCATCACCCGACCCTCCTGCTTCTTCTCCTCCTACCCCTCCTCTTCCTAATAAGTTCCATCATCATAAACATCATCAGCATCATCAGCATCGCTCGACCCTCGTCGTGATCCCTGGTTCCCCCTGCCCGTCTCTTTTCCCACATGTTCGTCTTCGTCCTCGGTTTCCTCCATCACACCACACTCACCTTCTTTTTCTTCCCCGCCTCTGCATCGCTATCATGTCACACCTCAATCCCAGAAGCAACCATCCAAGGGATCCCGCTTCCTCCTCTAGGTTCTCCTCCTCGCACCCCTCGCTTCCTCTTCCCCCTCCTCTTTGTCCACTTCCTCCTCCTCCTTCGCCTCCGCCACACCCCCGCCCTTCAACCTACATCCTCGGCAGTGCCGCGGCGCTCCACGCAGACCGCTGGGACCGGGCACGTCGGGCACTCTTGTCCCCGCGCCCCGGCGGAACCGCGTCCGAGTCGGGCCCGCGCCATCTCATACCTCGTCGGCCCCTGGAGGTCCGCGGCCGACAACTACCCCGAGCAGGTCCCGGGCAGGTCCCCCGCAAGCCCCCTATCAGAGATGGTTATGCTCCTGCGCGCCGCCCTCAGGGCCTCCCAAGAGCCCAGACAGAGGCCCTGAGGCCCCCGAGAGGCCCCCAAAGGCTCGAGAACACCACCACGCAACCACAGTGATGCGAAATGGGCCAGCAGAACGAACGAAGCGATTCGATAGCTGCCCTTCCCGCGATTCGAAGAAATCGAGCCAATAACCACGCACCCCAGAGAAGGAAGGGAATCCACCCACCCCGTTTTAACCCCTGAGAGTTGGCTATCCCGGGCCAGGACAGAATTGATCGGGGAAAGAGGCAGCGAGGCCGAACTTTATAACCGCCGGTGAAAATACGAATCGAAACTGCTTCTGTTGAAAAACGACACTGCAGCGAGCGTGTGGCAGGTATCTGGGATTCTCACCATGTGCGTTTGCCTGACCCCCGAACCTGTGGCAGGGCTATGGGGTTCTCACCACTTCAATTTTCCCAAAACACGAACGTGGGGCGATGTCACGGGATGTTCATCGCTCCCGCTTTCCCAATTCACGAACGCGTGCAAGGCGACTGCCAACTGACACCGACGCGCCTGGAGGCCGGAAGTCTCGAAGCCGTAATCTCCTGATGTGAGAGATCCTGCCAGGACGAGTGGCGCGCGAACGTGGCGAACCACCAACCTTCACGAAGAAAATAACCACGCACGATGGATTCCTACTCCTCCCACCCCCAAAAAACTCCGACTCCCCCCCCCCCCAGGGTATCGTCGCTACACGAGTATCATACGAGCAAATAATCCTACATATGAGTTTGCTGGGGCGAAACATGCATGATCCCCCCCCCGAACCCCGAAATTTATTATCCCTTCCCTGTGATTATCAAAGGTATGTGGCTCTGTTCTCGCAATTGGCCGTCAACGCACCTCTCACGGCAAAGAACTGGCGCTGGAGAAGGTGTCAAGTGATCTCGAAAGATCCAAAGCTGGCGACATACCAAAACGTCGCAAGGATCGAAATTCCTGTTGCGTGCCCGAAATGAGGGGAGCTATGTGCAAGAGGAGAAAGAGGAGGTAGCTGACCCGTCTTGGATCAGGCAAGAAAACGAGATGCCCACCAGAGGCGGATGGCGATAAGAAGAGGAAACTTGGGAGGACGAGGCGGGAGGGGGGGAAGAGGAGACACGGGTGGGGAGGAGCAAAACAACACAGGACAAAGACAGCGGCGGCGATCTCAGCGTCTGCCCACAAGACTAAACTCGCAGGCTGGCACGGGATCGCAGCCCTCTACCTTGACCCTCGACAGACAGTGCACGCGGCAACCAAACATAGACCGAGATGCCGGCAAGCAGGACCAACCAGCCTGAACTACGCCGGCCCCTCGACCAGCATGACCAACTAGACAGGGCCTGTCGTGCACGCCTGAGGCCGACGCGCTTGCTGGCGCACGCCAGGAAGAGGCTAGCACCCCCCGACGCACTCGCGTCCTGTCCATCGACAGAGCAGTCCGCCAGGCACGGGCCAAGACGCGAGCGAAAGGGGACACCCAACCACGGGCCCGCAGGGGACACCTGTGGAGCGAGAACATTCAGGCATGCCTGGGGCCATGATGCCTCCAAGCACGGACAGAGACAGCGTGAAGCAGTGCCGCGTAACCGAGGGGGCACGCAGCAAAGGGAAAAATAGCTGCGTAAAGGCACGATGGCACCACCTGGTGCTCATGGTCAGCAGCGCCATCGAAGATGCCAGGCGCAGCCTCTCGACTCCGCCGCTGCACGGCGCCGCGCAGCAACAAAATGTTCCCATGCGGCTGCGAGCCCGCCCTCGGAAGGGAAGCGATGGCAGTGGCGATGCGCTGCGACGTGCTGCTGGTGGCCGCGGCGGCCTCGGCGCAGCCGGCAGGCGGCCCCTGACCCTGCACTCTGCCATGGGCCACTGGGTGTCCATGCCCAGGCAGCTGACGACCCGGCTCACAGTCAGGGCCGGCGTGTCAGTCGATCACGGCCTTTGGTCTGACTCCACGGCCAGGATCACGACGTGTCTGTCCAGTTTTCTGCCCGATGGAATCCGAGCCGCGCACCTAGACGGCCGCGCGGCGCCGCGCCACGGCGACGCTCTGAGCCTGCGCCCAGCGGCGAAGGCTGCGGCGATGCACTGCGATGCGCTGCGGGTGGCCGCGGTGGCCTTGGTGCGGCCGGCAGGCGGCCCATGCCCGCACTCGGCCATGCACAAGAAGTGGGAGCCCATGCCTGGGTGGCTGATGACCCGGCTCGCGGCCGGGTCTGTCGTGCCCGTCGATCTGGGACGACACGCCGGGCTGTCCCCGTTGGGACTGTCAACGGGGTCCGGGGTCGGGGCTCGGGCGCGGAACCTCGACCGGCGACGGCGCAGCATCCGTTGCACGAGCGGCAGCCGCGAGTGCCTCTCCGGCCTGCTCCTCCGCGGCTCTTCCACCGCCGTCCTGGCGGCCTGGCGCGGGCGCGAAGCTGGCGCCCCGCTCCGCGGCGACTATTGCCTCCTTGAGGTGGTGGCGGCACGTTCTGCCCAACGTCCCGCAGGCCGCTCCAGCTGTCGGTGTCGACCAGCCAGTGGCTTCACGTCCCTCGCGCGGCAATCTGGGCGGCTAGTCTGGGCGGTTCGTTGCGCCTGTCCTGCCTTCCAGCCTGGTGCCCTGTTCCGCGTCGTCGCTCACTACGTCGAAGTTGCGCTGGAGCGCAAACAAGCCCAGATCGTCGCGCTTCTGGATCTCAACGAAGATCGCCTTGCGGGCTGGTGCAGGCCCAGCGCATCCCTGACGCACGCCTGTGAACCCCCGCTGCCCCTCTGCGTCGAAGCGCGTCGCCCAGCACCAGGCCGAGGCGGCACCTTCGTCGCCTGGTCCACGCAACATTCGCACCTGGAGCGCCAGGAGCGCGGAGTCAGCGCCCTCGGCCAGCAGGCGGCGCCTGGCAGCGTAGCCCATGCGGCACATGGCGGCCACCCATGGCCTCGGAGGCACCGCCGCATCAGGCCACAGAAGAACTCGTACCACCGTCTGGCAGGTCGGGGTCGCTATTGCTGGCGACGCCCCTGGTTGCACGACAGCGAAGGCGCCGCAAGCCCCTGGGTCCTGCACCCGAGCTCCCCGAGCTGTCACAGCGACTGGAGAAGTGACGAGACAGGGAGGAGAGCGAGGGGGGATTTTGGGAAACAGAGCATGGAGGAATAGGGCAGGCAGGGAGGGGATGGGGATGGATGTCTGTTTGCACTGTGGCCACTATACACTGATCGCGTCGAAGTCCCCAATCCCACATAACACATAACTTTACATGGAGAGGCCACAAACCAGGAGGCAAACCTACGACGGACACGACGGGCGACGGACAACGACGACGACGACGACGACGGCGACGACAGCGACGACGACGACGACGGCGGCGGCGACGAAGACGGCGGCGAAGAAGACGGCGAGCGGACGACGAAAACGAAAAGGATGGTGTTCTGAGGCGGTGGCGGTGCGTAGCCCTGCTTGTCGGCGGACTGCACGAACGAAGTGACCATCCTCCGCTCGGAAGGCGACAAGACACCCCTGAGGAGCTCCGAGTGCTCCTCTTGGCAGGGCGGGGACGCGGAGGCGAATACTGTATTGCAAATGCCGTTGAGGGTAACCATCAAACTATGGATGTCGGGTAACCTGGGAGTTCGGTGCCCGAGCAATGGTAGGAAACACACATCGCAAGGAGATGAAGAGGAGGAGGAGGATGAGGGCGACAGACGACACATGGGGAGATTGGGGACGGCAACTGTTGGGAGGCGGTGGAGCGGGAGGGGCAGAAACAACATCAAGAATGCAACAAACAAAGATGAGGCAACCTGCAGCAATCTGACGAAGACTTCGTGTCGAATCTGGCCGTGGCGACAGCGGGCTTCCACTCAGGCCCCCGCCACCTGGAGGCCTCCCCGGGGCCTGGAAAAAAGGCGCGGTGGGCTCTGGAAGGCATTGCTTCCCTTCCCTTCCCCTTTTGCCTTTCTTTCTGTACGTCTCTCTCGTTTTTTGTTGTCCATGTATGCATACGTTGCTCGTCCTATGTCTGTTGTTTGTTTCTTAGGTTGTCGGCTCCTCTCTCTCTCTCTCTCTTTATGTGTTGCTGTCTCTCTCTATATATAGTTGTATATGTGTGTCTCCTTCTGCCTCTCTCTCTGTCTCTGGTTGTGTACATGTTTCCTCATGTTGCCCTGCTATGTAAGTGCGTGCTGTTTGTATGTTGACGGCTTCTGTTTTGTTTGCTCAGTCTCTCTCTCTCTCTCTCTTTCTCGCTCGTCCCCCCCACTCTCTCTCTCTCTCTGATGTATCTCCCCCCTCTCCCCCTGTCACTCTCAATTTCTCCTCCCCCTCATGCAAGAGGAGAGGGGGGGCCTCGGCATCGTTCCCCCCCCCGGGCGGGCAACGCCGCGATCCTCGGTCAGGTGCTGCAGTGTGGCCGCCACGCTGAGCCTTGCACGGGCAACACCATCGGCCACCTCTGCCCCAGTCCACACCTTGTCATCACCGTCGTCCTCCTACTCATTAATCCTTCCCCTCCTGCTCCTCCTCCTTCCTACCCCGTCCTGGGCAGCCGCCACTCCCGTTCCTCGCAGGCGGAAAGTCGCCGCCGAGTTGCCGCCCGCAGCGGATACGTCCTCTTCGTCCCTCTGCTCCTCCTCCGCCATGCTCCTCCCCCTCCTCCTGTTCCTCCTCCTCCTCCTCCTCCTCCTCCTCCTCCTCCTCCTCCTCCTCCTTCTCCCCTCAGCCACGTCTTGTCTATATTCCCCAACCGCGCCATTATCCATCCCCCTCCCCCTCCCTCCCCTCCCTCCTCCTCCTCCTCCTCCTCCCTCTCTCCTCCCTCCTCCTCCTCCTCCTCCTGGTCCTCGTCCTCGTCCTCCTCCTCCTCCTCGTCCTCCTCCTCCTCCTCCTCCTCTCCTCCTCCTCCCTCCTCCTACCTCCCTCCTCCTCCTCCTACTCTCTTGCCTCCGTCCCTTTTCACCTCTCTCTCTCCCCTCCCTCTTCCCCTCCCCCCCTCCCTCCTTCCCTCCCTCCCTCCCTCCCCCCGTCCTCCCTCCCTCCCACCTTTCCTCCCTCCCGTTCGCTGGCCGCGGGCGCGGCGCCCCCGCCAGCAATCAAAACTCATGGGGGCCACCCGGAGCGAGTCCGCCCAGCCAGGCCGCGCGCGCCGCGCCCCAGCAGCGACGATGGGGCGACGCGGTAAACGGACGACGCGACGACGGAGCAAGGGGGACCCGCCGAGGCGGGGGGGGAGAAGAGCGACAGAGGCCGCGGAGCCAGAAAACACAGGCAGGAAAGCAGGGGGAGAGGGACGACCACGGAAGGACGGCAGCGCGGAAAGCAGGAGGACGAGAGGGGAGGCAAGCGCGGGACACGCGCAGTGGCCCGGGCGGGCCGGCAGGGGCAGGAGAGGAGGGCGGGGGGGGGGTCGTCGGGGGGGTGGCAGCGTCCGTGGCGGCGGTCGTAGGATGGCGGTCGTACCGGCGGCGGTCGTGCTGGAAGCCGGCCGTGCTGGCTGCGATCGCGGCGGTCGTGGTGGCCGGTCTTCTGGTTGGGCTGGAGGTCGCGGTGGTCGCGCTGGCTGTTGGTCAGCTGGTGGTCGGGGCGGTCGTCTTGGCGGGCGGGCGAATTAGTGGTTAGTCGTGCTGGCGGAGGTCGTGCTGCTGGCAATCGTGGCGGACTAGTGGCCGAAGGCGCTGAGGACCATCTCGGCGCTGCCCGTCTGTAGGGTCACCGAGATCTCGCGTCAGAGGCGGCCCAAGAGCTCGCCCAGCTCATCCTCCTCCAGGTCGGCGCCGTAGCTGCGCACGAAAGCCGCAGTTTCTTGGGACCGGCCGCGAACACCGTGGGGATGAGGTCGAGCCTTTGTCGCGGGGGTATCGCGCCTTCTTGCTGTCGACCTCCTGGGCCGCCGCCCAGCCACTCCTGTGGGACCGGGCCTGCCTGCGCGAGGCATGCGCTGAGTGTGCGCAGGTCACGGCCCAGACCACAAAGATCTGGCGTCCCGTGGCGTGGTCGACGGTGGCCGCGTCGAGCTTGGCCTCCTCAAGGCGGCCATTGGGGAGGCGGCGATCCCACCTTGGCGCCTGTTGCTCGGTGGGCGCAGCGTATCCAGTGAGCGCTGCGTGCCGCTTGGAATGCCAGTCCCGCAGCCGTTTGCGCCGGTCGTTCCAGCACCCCCCCGCTTTGCATTTCCTCGCGTGCCACCCCTTCCGGTCGAGAGGCTGGTTGCATGGTTGCCCCGTGGTCTTGTTCGTGTGCTTGCACAGGGCCCCCTTTGGGCAGACGGGCATGTCCAGCCGCATCTTCAGATTCGTGAGAAAAAGTTTGTCTGGCTGCGCGGTGCGCCGGCATGTCGGGACAGCAGGAACGGAACCGCCCCAGGCCCTCCCGCCGAGCGCAGCGAGAAGCGGCCGTCCTCGTCCAGGAGGAGGAGGAGGAGGAGGAGGAGAAGGAGGAGGAGGAGGAGGAGGAGGAGGAAGAGGAGGAGGAGCAGCGTGTCCAGGAGCAGCTTCTTGCCAGCCTCCGAAGCGGCTGACCCCCAGAGGCCCCTGCCGTTTGTGCTGCGGCTCCCAGAGCGCCTGCTTTGCCTGGGCAATGGCCTGGAGAGTGCGCGGGCAGAAGGCGCGAAGCTCCTCCAGGGTGTCGACCCCTAGGCAGGTGGCCTCGTCGTGCAGGCAGAGGGCCCAGCTAGCGGCGCAAGCGGCCGGGGCGGTCTGAGCGGCGGAAGGGGAAGCGCGCCCTCCGTCCGAAAGGCGCAGTGTGGCCCGCTGGCGCCGACGTCGTCAAGGGGCCCCGCGAGGAGGTTATCGAGGGCGGCGAACAACACGTCGTCGAGCTCCCGCACCCACGCTGTCTGCAAGTCCCCCCTGGGGTGGTGCGTGACGCGTTCCCGCCATCAAGTGCACAGGAGCGTACACGTGGCCTCGGCTGAGAGGCTGGCCGCTCTCAGTTCCCACAGCCGCGCGGCGGAGGCCCGCGCGCGACCCACTCCGGCGTGCATCAGGACCCCGTCTTCTTGTTGGTCTAGCCATGCTTATCGTTTAACCGATCCCCATCCCCAGCGGCGTGGCCTGGGCCCCACTGGCCGATTTGCCCCCCTAGATGGGGATATATGTCGTTCCCTTCGGGTTTCGAGGGGTGTATCGCCACCTGGGGGGGGTAATTTGGTGGGGATCTCGAAGGAGATGGGGATGGGGATGGGGATCGGTGAAACGATACTGAAGTCAGGGAGCGGCGCTTACGAGGCAGAGCAGGTTGTCAGCCCAGAGGGCGGCGAGTCTGGCTGGCAGCGGGGGGCCCCGCGGTCGGCTGCCCAGGTCTGTCTTGCCGAGGGTGACCGGCAGGCCGAGGCGAGCGAGCTCCGCGGGATCCACTTGCGCCGCTCCAGTAGCGTGTGCTGGCGGCGCGTGGATCATCATGTCGGATCGGACGTTCTGGGGACAGCTGTTGAAGCCTTCCCTCTCTCCCTCCCTCCATCCCTCCCTCCTCCTCCTCCTCATCTTCCTCCTCCTCCTCCTCCTCCTCCTCCCCCTCCTCCTCCCTAGCCCCCTCCTCCTCCTCCTCCTCGTCCTCCTACTCCTCCTCCTCCTCTTCCTCCTCCTCTTCCCTCGTCCCTCCTCATCCACGTCATTATCTATCACCCCCCTTTTCCTCCCTCCACCGTCGCACACGGCCGGCTCCTGGCGTGCCGACGCCCCGGCGTCGGTGCCACAAAATACGTACTCGGAATGACCACGACAACGACATTGCCATCGACGCCGTCGCCAAGTGGCAAGCGCTGGACCGTGGCCGACTGATGAGGGGCAACGATAGGGGGGGGGCGGGCACAGGGGGGTGATGCATCGGCCTTGAATCGGCGATACATCGCGGATAGATCGGCGATAGGCCTCCGATAGTGAACCGCATCTTCAAGGGCAGGTTGGGGCTATCGGGCCCCTATCGGCGATCAATGGGCGATTGGGAGTCGATGAATTCCCCCTATACCTATCCCTCCCTATCGTTACTCCTGAATTGAGCGACCGTGCGCAGGCCGGGCATGCGACGAGGACAAGGACGAAATCGACGACGTCTGCATCGTCGTCGATGGGCAAGGGATGCAGGAGAAGGAAGAGGATGAGCGGTGAAGGAGGAGGAGGAGGAGGAGGAGGAAGGGGAGGCCTGAGGGAGAAGGATGAAGAGGACGCATTCGAATTAGAGACCACCCACATCGGCTGGAGCAGAACGGATTCGGAGGATCGCACCGCATCGCCGATGCATCGCAAATTCACCGCCAACGTCGAACTGGACAAACTCGTGCTCTGGATCGCGCCGCATCGCGGATGCATCGGCGATGATCCCGCCTACTCTGCTCGCATTACTTGGGCGGGATGGAATCATCTGCTTCTTCTCTGCATCTTCCTCTCCTCCTCACCCCACTCTCGGGTATCTTCTGACCCGGGTCAGTCCAACCGCGGGTCAGTCAGGCCTTGCAGGATCCTGCAGGCTCCTGCAGACTCCTGAACCCAAGCCCGGGCAAGTGCGACCCTGGTCCTGCAGGATCGTGCAAGATCCAACGCTCTGGCTGACCCCCGTCTGCATTGACTCCCGTCTCCTGAGCTCTGGGGGTAGGAAAGGGGTGTGGTGTAAAGGGGTGTGGTGCGAACGCTGGATCTGGCGAGGACATCTATCGTAGATAGCATCGCCATTCTAACGAGTGGCACCACACCCTGTTCTGCCACACCCCTGTCCGACCTCAAGATGAGCCCCGACCCACTCCTCCCGCCGAGGGGCTGGCACGTACCCGTGGGCGGGCGTCTTGCGCATGTACCATCTGTAAGTCCGAGACGGGGCGGGCGTCTTGCGCATGTAGCAGCTGTAAGTCCGAGACGCGTGTGGAGGAGAACAATACCCCGTCGGGCGTATACAACAGAACCTGCGTCGGTGGTGCGCTGTGTCGAGCACGGCTTCGGCTCTGACTCGGGGCGGCGTGACGTCGATGGGTGCAGCTCGGCCCCTTGGAACTGGGGCCACGAGGTTCCAGTAGGCTCCTTCCCCACTCGTCCTCTTCATGCGCCGTCGTCGGCCACTCCCCATCCTCTCCTCATCATCAGGAGCTCCTTGCCCGCGTTGATCGTCCTCCTCCTCCTCCTCGCCCTCCCCTCGTCCTCCTCCTCCTCCTCCTCCTCCTCCTCCTCCTCCTCCTCGCCCTCCTCCTCCTCCTCCTCCTCCTCCTCCTCGGCCACCACTCCTCCCCCCCTGGTCGTCGACATCGAAATGCCGCGGCCGACCAGGCGATCGGGCGGCGGACCGCGGCGCCCGGCGTGCGCACGGGGAGAGCCGACTGGGCGCGCGGCAGGTGCGTGCGCGGCACCTGGGCCCCCGCTCTCGCTCCCTCCCCCTCGGCTCCTCCGCGGGTCGAGATCTACATATACACCCTGCGAAATGCTTAAGAAATCATGGGTTAAGAAATTCACAGTCTCAGAACTTGAAGAAAACCCAGAACTTCTATCATAATCTTGGGATTTACATTGAAAAGTTAAGAATAATCGAGACCCTGGACGAAAACTTGGGTTTTCTTAAGCATCGCCTAGGGTGTACACCAACACTGGCCAAGCAGGCCTGAGCCCAGGATGGGTGGGCCTTGCCAGGGCCTGGGTATACCAACATAGCTCTCGCCCGAGCCGGGAGAAACAAATCCCTGGACACGTCGAAACCGCCCCCCCCCTCCTCACTTGAAGCGCCCCTTCCCCTTTCCAGAATGTGATCAACGTTCGATCAAACTATAACATAATCCTAGTGTAGCTTGATCAAACTTGAATCGCATCCTAGTTGGGTTCGGTCCAAAATGGCCTCCAAAGTGGCTCAACACAGCAACAGATGGTTCAAGATAGCTTCCGACATACCTCCCAGAGGCCCGAAGAGGGCCACAAGACGGTTCGAAGTGTTCTCGGAGCCCCCTCAGGACCCCCCCCGGGTGGCCAAACTCGTTCGAACATCAAATGGAAATCCATGATGTCTGCCTTCACGTCATTTTGCTTCCGATGCGCTTCTGAGCTTTTTTAGCATCAAGATTGTCCTCAGATGGCCCAAGAGAACCCCAAGTGGGGCCCAAGAGGCACCCGCGACGGCCTTACGATCGCCCACGGTCAGCCCAAGAACGCCCCAAGAGCACCCGAAAAGAGGATTTCCATAGCCCCGTAGGGAGGGTAGTTCGGGACCCCCTTCTCGTTTGTTCGATGGTCTCCAAGATGGCCCCCCAAAGCTGTCCATGGCTCCGAGGGAGGACACCGAAGAGGGCTCCAAGAGGGCCCCACGAGGGCCTCAAGACCCACCAAAATATCTCCAAGTAGGCACGACAACCTACGAAAAGAGCCCCAAGAAGGCTCCAAGAGGCGATGCTGAGAGCTCTGTCTTCGTCCTCGTTGCCCTCCTCCTCCTCCTCGCCATCGTCCTCGTCCCTGCCTTTGTCGTATTATTAGGTGTCCTTTTCCTCCTCTGTTCGTCGTGGTCGTGGCCGTGGTCGTCGTCGTCGAAGTCCTCCTACTGCTCCTCCTCCTCGTCTGCTCCTCCTGCTCCGCCATCTCCTCCTCCTCCTCCTCCTCCGCGCCTCGCCCCCCGCGCGGGCTCCAGGGATGGCCCGACGACGCCCTCCGGGGTCCCCCCGTTGCTCCCGGAGATATCTCTGCCCACCCTGGCTGCCCGCTCTGTGTCACAGTATTGTGTCTCTTCGTCCTATTTCCCGCCAGCTGCCATGGGCAAGGATTCTGAATGGGCTGGTAGGTATGCGCGAACTGTGAAGCATCGCGCGACGGCCGGCTCCAACTCTACTTGAACCACACGGAGGTCCGATCCAGCACTTATACAATACTGCTGTAGCTGGAGTCGGCCCAAAAATGCAGCAACTTGTCGGGTTCGATCCACCTCTGGGATCACCCTACTGTAGCGGTCCAGCTCCAACTGAATCCTTCTGAGGCTCAGTTCAGCTCGAACCGAATGGGAGCAGCTCGAACTCCCCGCCTCCTTACAATTCCACCGAAGGGGATGTTCGAACTTCCGCCTCGCCGTTGCCACTCATGAGGGGGGGGCAGTTCAATCCCGCCCCCCTCCAAGCGTCCAGTGAATCCGTTTTTTGTCCGACTTCATGGGGGGAGGCATCCGCGGACGTGGAAACGAAAAACAAGTCGTAACGAACGACCCTTCCCCTCTCCCTTTTGCATTATTCTTGTTTCACTGTGCCGCGTCTGTTCCTGAAAGATTATCCTGTCCCTGCCCTTTCCCGACAGATCGTCGTCCGCGCGGGCTTCGACGCACGCCTCGCCGTTGTAATCGTCATCCTCGTCGCCGCCCCCCCGCCCCGTCACCTTCCATCCCGTGGAAACACAACAACATGTATATTGTGGCATGCGCGCTGACTTCTCCAGGGCACGGTCTTATTTCTCATGACGGCGCCGCCACGGGGTCTTCGACGTGGACACAAAAAATCCGAACAGACCTACAAAAAAACAATCGATGGACATCGCGTTGCATTTGCACCCTTCGCCCCCGCTCTTCCGCATTCCTCTGGCCCTCGAAGTTCAAGGAGCGAGTTCCGAAGATCGAAATTGGCGGTTCTGGCCTTTGTTGGGCACGGCACTTGGCCCCGCGGCGACGCGCAAATCGAACAAAACGAGCGAACCGATCCGCCGCCGCGCCCATTGCCACGCGGAGGCGCGGTGGAATGCCAAAAGCTGTCTGGAAAGGCCCCCCTTCTCCCCACAAAAAGCCGAATGCGTCGCCCCCCCCATCCGCCCCCCCTTCAGTCGCGCAGCGGAATGCCCAACGCTGCCTAGAAAGCCCCCCCCCTTCTCTCCTCCCTAAGTGCCGCGCGCATTGCCCCCCCCCACCCTTCGCTCCCTTATCGCTCGCGAAGCTTTCTGGGCGTTCCGGCGCGTCCTTTGCGCCTACCAAAGCTGGTGTTGGTCAGGCGATCGAGAGCACCAGCAAACCAACCTGACGCACGTGATACATCTTCTCCAAGCACAGAGGGCCCATGCGAGAGAACCGTTTGCAAGACCAGCCCATTTGCGCTGAAGGATGACAGCGCGGATGCGACAGTGGTCGTTGCGCGCCCCTTTCCCGGCAACAACGCGAACGATGCGCAATTGTGACGCCGCCTTCTTTACGTCGGCATCAAAAGACTGATGCCAAACGCCCGCGGCGGCGGGCGGATGGATGCTAAAAAACGCAAGCAAGAGAAAACGAATCTACTCCCGCCGCGTCGGGCGCCAGGGCGGCCACGCCTCCGCGCGCCGGCCTCCAGCGCGCCGCGCCTGGACGCGCCAATCTGACAAAAACTCGTTGCAGCGCTCGCCTGTCGCGCGGCACCTGCCCCCGCCGCAGAGGCGAAGGCCCGGTCGCTCGGCGGGCCCGCAATTATTCCGCCGCGGGACCGCGGGGCACCCTGGCGACTCGCCCCCGAGGGCCGCTAAATTTATCATAACACTCGCCTTGCGATCGGCGTGCTGCACTGGGAACTTGAACAAATAATCTCCCGATGCAAAGTTGCGCGCGGTGCGCCGCACATGATGCGCGTTCTTGACCGGTCGGCCCCCGCCCCCCGGCAATCTGCTCGCCGCGCCTGCCCCTTCCAAGTGAACCAGGGGCACGCCGAAGCCCGCTGCCCCCCCCCCCCCGCGCGACGCACAAGCCAGAGTTGGGGGCGACCCGAAGACCTCGGGTCCAACAGCCGGGGAACAACGCAAACATAATGCACTGCGAATGCCAAATATTGAAAGGGAAAGCCGGCGACCACGAGACGCGCTCGAGCCCCCCGCTTGGACGACCCCGCCCGCTCGCTCAGCGACCGCATTCTGCTTCTTGCAACCTGGAATTGCAGGGCCATGGACAGTCGTCATGCCCGGGCGCGCCAGCCCCAGCTCATGCGCGCGATCGGCGCACATGTCTACGTACTTTTCTCTAGGTGTTTCCATTTTCGACAGGGAGCTGACGACGTGGATGGCCGATGTCTCGCGCGCGCGCCCGCCGCGGCGAAAAGCGTCGCATGCTGGTCTCAGAATGCGAAGCGGGGGGTCTCTCTGCAGCGCCTCTCAGAGAAGTCGCCCGCCCTCCAACCAATGGCCCATCGTGCAGTGCGGTCCCCAATTATGCGTTTCAGCGCGCGGGCGGGGTGCTCGTGCCCGCGCGTAGTCCTACTTCCGCCATTGCGGTCGACGCGCTTTGGCAGCCTCGCAAGCGTCGACGAAGGACTTCTGAGGGACATGACAAATAATAAATGCGGAAGAGGCGACACTTCGCATCCGCAACCAATCTTCTCTCGCCCGCGACCGATCCACCTCCCAATTCGTCGAGGCCAAACAATCATCCGGGTTTTCCCGAGGCAACTCGAACATCGCGAGCTCCCTGGTCACGTTAATCCCCGCGCAATTGGAAGCAACGCCGCGTCGCCCCGGCGCAGCAGTCTGCCCTGGAATTAGCGCGTGCCGCGGTGCCTCCGCAGCGGAAACACGCGCTGACGCGATCGGCTCGACGTCGGCTGTCAACGGCGCGGCCGACCAGCGCAACGCCCCAGCAACAGCGCGCGCACAGCGGAAATTCGCGATCACACACGCCAGGGCCGAGAAACTTCCTGGCCCGTCCAAGAGGCGCGAGGCGCGGACCATGGTCGGCACGCTCGTGAAATAAGATAGATTAATTCGCGCGCAATTCCTGTTTGGATCGACTGGACCCCCCCATGGTCCGCGGATCCGCCAGACTAGTCTCGGCGCCTGGCGCCGCGCGAGCCTACTGGCAAATGCCTGTCCTCGCCAGCTGCCGGGGCGCCCGCTCGACCGAGCGCCTCCTTTTCCGGCGACTGTGAAGGGCGGCATATCCCCCAAAATAATCAAACGGATTTGATGTCCACTGGGCAGCTGGGAGGCGTCGTGCACTCCCGCGCGAAAGTGCGTCCGAAATCCAATACCTTTTCCCCCGCTGAGGGCGCCGGGCATGGCCATCGATTCAATATTTCCGCTTCGAAATTTCCCCCGCCATGCTCGAGGCCCCAAGGGCGCGGCTTTGCCCCCCCCCCCCCCCGGCATGGGCAGGCGCCCGTTCGAATCCTACTCTGCCGCCGCCGCTGTGGGCGATCATGCGCGTCTCGGGCGCCAGACACGCAGTCGCCCCCTTCGCTGCTCTAGGGTCTAGCGAGAAGGTTTCCAGAGATCCGGAAGGGCAACCGACCGATCTGCGGGCCGCCCCTTGAAGGCAATGCGCGAGCCTCGCTTCCAGAGACGAGCCCGCCCCCCGTCGCGCCGTCGCCGGGCCCTGCGTCGGTCGCGGGAACGGCGGGGGAAAAGCCTGCAACGACAGGGTGCTCTGCATCGCCCCTCCCGC